TATTAATAAAATATAAATAATTTCTGATTAAAATTTCGAAATGTTATTTATATATACCACTACGGTTTATCGTTATGTAATAGAGTTTATACAAAATATTCGATTTTAGTAAATGCGGGTTATTCTTATTTCGACTTTTTCAAGTCTCTTGTTTTCTCATATCATAACAAGCTAGACCCTAGACCGCTGCAAAAACAGGTAAACAAGTGGAGTTGCGTTAAACTCTTTCAAGGCCGAACTTGGCTTCTCTTTTATGTGGTACTTGCGTGTATGTACACAAAAGTGATTATCGACTAACTAACGTCAAAACTCGATGAAGCAAGTTGATCAAATTTTATTCTGTCGTTAAGAACTAATTAACTGATTAGTTTAACTATTTAGTTTTAGAATGAAACAAGTACAGGTACACTGTAAAGCGAACTTTACTTTACGTTCTTAGTTTTTTTTCGAAGGATGGGGGTTTCTTTAAATTAGTAGTTTAGTACGTTATAATTGGTAAACGTCAGGTAGTTTTTACAGTCTATAGTAACTCAAGACATGGCCGACTTCATTAATATACACTAACGTGTATATACGGCCGTTTCAATTTTTGATTTTCCATTAAAAAAAATGTTCCGCCGCCTAGTGCATATTGTGGCGCCCTCAAACGACAGATATCGTGCTATTTCTGTCAAATTAATTGTCGAGTTGAAACTGACATTGACAACAAATTTTACTCGAAGGATAAAAAAAGCAGTTTGGTTCAGATAATAATGTTTTTTTTTTTAATTTTATCACAAAACACAGTAAGTAAAACAATAATATTAACGTAAAGTTATAATTTCAATACTTTTCGACTTTTAGGTTTAAAATTTAATGCAAATCTCTTGACAGAATCTGTGGTCTCCAAGCAAAGATTACTGAGAACTGGCTTTACAGTCGTTTTGATTATATATTTGCACACAGAAATTTATTAATTCACTTTCAGAATAATAAGCAAACAACATAGTTTTTACTTCCCGAGCGTAAGCAAAGGAAGTATTGTAATCGAGTCCGTCGGCCGACTCTCTACTTTTACGTTTTCTCGATCTTTCATGACCCCTAGAAGACGAAGAAATAGGTCTCCCATTTCCGTCTGTCTGTCCATCTGTCTGTCCGTCTGTCTGTCCGTCTGTCCGTCTGTCTGCCGTCCCGGATTTTTATTAGACAGATAATCTCCGAAAGTACTGGACCGATTGTTACCAAATTTTGTACTTATATTAGGAATATCATGTAGATGGTAAAATGCTAACCAAAATTTGTCTAATCATCCCCACCACTAATGCGATGACGTCACTTCAAAATTGTACATAATAAATGGATCTTAAATTGTATAAAATAACATAGTCCTACACATGTCGTTTACGATTCCGAATTGAGTTTTTACCCGAAACGTCCAGATTTTTGGAAAAAAAATCAAAATTATAAAACAACATTTTCCAATTTAATTTTGAATCTGCTAACCCGAATGTTTTGAAATATTGCAGACGTTTTTAGGCTCTAAAGAGCATTATAAATCTTTAGTCAAAATATATTTGGTTGTCCTCTCCAAAAACTTGATGATGTCAGCTCAAAAGTTTGCCGAATAAATCCTATCTAAAATGTACAAAATATGATGCGTCTGTACTTGTGATACAGACTCCATTCATATTTTTTGGATTTGCATATACAGGGTGACTCAAAAAAAATAATGAATGCGCAAAATTTATTTTATTGATTTACTCAGGAACTACAACACCGAATGCTTTGAAGTCTTGAAGATGTTTTAAAATTATCATAAGCATGGTAAATTTTTGATCAAAATGTATATGGTCGTCCCTCCTAAAAAAATTATGACGTCACCAAAAAATTTTGCTGAATAAATTTTATCTAAAATGTACAAAATATGGTGAGTCTCTTCTTGTGATTTATCATTCCATTCAAATTTTTTCGATTTGCATATACAGGGTGACTGAAAAAAAAATGAATGTGTAATTTATTTTATTGATTTAATCAGGAATTACAGAACCGAATGCTGTGAAATCTTGGAGATGTTTTAAAGGTATCATAAGTATGGTAAATTTTTGTTCAAAATGTATTTGTTCATCCTCCCTAAAAAAATTGATGACGTCACCCCTAAATTTTACTGAATAAATCCTATCTAAAAGGCAAAAAATATGATGAGTTTGTACTTGTGATTTATCATTCCATTCATATTTTTTAGATTTGCTTAAGAAGTGGCTCAAAAAAATTAATGAAGTCAATTTATTTTATTGATTAAATTAAAGGCAACACTTATTATTAGTATTACACTGGACCAACGCAATTTGGTAGACACAAAATTTTGTAAAGTAAAAACTCGGTTGAAACATAAGGGTAGCACGCTTATTTATATTTACTTTAACATTACAGACGTGCATTTGTTTTGAGCGCTGACTAGGTTCCGCGAATGTAGTATAGACATGTTTATAATCAACCAATTGTGAATTCCACCGTCAAAAGTTAAAATAAAACCCAATGTTTTATATAATAAGCGGAAGTCGAAGCAATAAAAATCTCTAGACGACCATCGGTTTTCTTTACAGTTTCTCTGTTTGACTCTCACGTATGCTATGTTACGCTTGTCGTCTTAAATTAAGAATGCTTATACATAAACCATTTTCAGTTGCCTCTCGTAGTACACGCCGGCGCCGTATACGTGAGTAAATTGTTTCGTTATTTTATTGATTATTACAAATCAATATTCAAAACGACGCAATTTATTTTCCCGAAAATTTGGGAATACAGTAATCTTATTCTTAGTATTACACTACATCTATCCCAACTGATATACGTGTTCTTGCAAAAATGTTGATGACTTCATCGCAATTTTTTTTTAAATTCCCACTACAAAAATGTAATGAGAAAAAAAACACAATAGGCATGCAGTCGTCAAGTTTCCGACAGCGAGGGAGTACTGTCTAAACTCTTTAGACCAATTTTTTTTTACAGCTATAATTAACGCTGATTCTAAATATGAACTGAAAAAAATTGGTTCAAGATTAATTTATACAGAACTTCTCTCGCCCGTGAAGTTCACTCCAACAAATATCGCTTCTTTGATAAATTATAAAAAATGTTTGCTTTCTGATAACCTTCATATATAGCAAAAACCAGGTGTGAAAATGACCCACCTCCCTCCCTGCGTCGCGAGGACGCAAATTCCATGGGGGTGCCGTCCGCAGACATACGGACAATTTGAAATATATTCAAAGCAAATAACCAACGGAAATTATTATCAGTGACCATGCTTAACTATGTCACGTATAAATTGAGTTTGTCTTCTCAAAACAGAGGACTAAAATTATTAATTAAACCACAATTGTTATACAAAGACGTGCGTATTCTCCTTCTTAATTTGACCAATAAAAAATTTGTGATCACATCATCAACATGGATACTACTAATCATACCACAAAAGAAAAGTAGTCACAGCGCATTATCAATGCAAGAAAAAAACGAAAGAGCCAAGTTTGGCATTGAACCCACAACCACAGGTTGCCGACTCGCCGTTCCCTCCGAGAGTTTTTGCGAAAATTTGAACGCTTAGCGAAAAAAACTGAAAGTGAATTCGTACACTACAACTAGAGGAGTATATTTCTGTATAGCATTCAAACCATTTTAAAAATAATTAATTGAAGTGACGTCATCAAATTATTGGTGGGGATAATTAGCTACATTTCGGATAGCATTATACAAATGTACATGGTATTTGTAACATGCATACAAAATTTGACAACAATCGGTTCAGCAGTTTCGGAGATGACGTGTCTAATAGAAATGGATACCAGACAGACAGACAGAGGGAAACGGGAGACTACTATTTTCGTACTGTAAGGGTCAGGAAACGTGAGATAACATAAAAGTGGCCATTCGTCCAATAGATTCGATTACTATACTTCCTTAGTTTACGCTCGGGAAGTAAAAAAGAATGTCATAAACTTGTCGAAATCACCTTATGAGATATATATTTACGCAGTACTTTTGTAATCACCACTAAATAAAAAAAATATTTTAAAGTTATTTAGACAGAATTTCCCTCTCCCCTAAAATACAGGCGAACAAATACAGATTCTTCGAAAAATTATAAAATTTAATTTTGCGACTATTATATTTTTTAATATAAACCCTATAACTTAAAAAAATTAGTCGAAAGTTGTTTCGACAGAACTTCCCTCACACGTAAAGTACAATGAAACGTATCCAGCATTTTTGAAAAACTATAAAATTTCATATTGGTGTTTAGTTTTCTCAATAAATTTTTAATATTTTGTTCAAGAATCATCATCTCATGAATTTTCTGAATCCTTTAGAATTGTCTAAGTGGTACAAACATTTTTTAGATCGGATTTAATCAGCAATTTTGATCAAAAATTTACCATGCTTATGATAACTTTAAAACATCTCCAAGATTTCAAAGCTATCAGTTTTGCATTTCTTGTTAAATCAATAAAATAAATTCACGCATTCATTAATTTTTTTGAGTCACCTTGTACCTATAGACAAATCCAAAAATATGAGTGGAATGATAAATCGCAAATATAGACTCATCATATTAGATAGGATTTATTCGGCAAAATTTTGTGCTGACGTCATCACTTTTTTGGAGGGCTAAGCAAATATGTACCTATTGATTAAAATTTTATCATGCTTACCATAACTTTAAAACATCTGCAAGATTTCAAATCATTAGGTTTTCCAGATTCAAAATTAAATTGCAAAATGTTGTTTTATAATTTTTTTTTTTTCAAAAATCTGGACGTTTCGCATAAAAACGCTACACGGAGTCATAAACTACATGTGTAGGACTATGCTATATTATACAATTTAAAACCGATTTACTATGTAGAGTGCGGGCGGGCTATCAGAGACGTGCATATTAAAAATCAAGGTTGACTCGATTACAGTTAATACTGATGACTAGTTATACCGCCATATTTAAAATTAAACAAGCTTTAAACTTTTCATAGATATGGTATTCGATCACATGGAAATTTTTTGCTCAACCGACTGTCGTTTTTACCATTGCCTTAAGTGATCGGATCATTGTTTATTTTAGTAGAAAAATTACAATTAGCAATAAATGCAATAACGTGGAAAAAGTCTTATTTATTTGTCCTATCAAAACCAGTAAAATACAATTTTTTTAAAATACAATATTGCAATAAACTCCAGATTTTGTTACCATCTTATAAAACAAACCATTTATATTTTTCAACAAAATTTCAGGATTGTCATATTCAACAATGTTACCGTTATCCATAACTAACACTTTGTCGCAGTCCATAATAAATTTTAATCTGTGTGCTATTTTGATAACGGTACAAAATTTAAAATGTTCATCTATTATCTTATAAATTAGGTCTTCCGTTTCAGTGTCCACGTGTTCAACTATTTCGTCGATGGCTAATATTTTCTTATTTTTCATTAACACTCTAGCTAAACACAATAGCCTTTTCTGACTGCAACTAAACTCAAATTCCTTAATATTAGCATTTAAAATTGAAATGATTTTGTTCATTCCCACAGTATTTAAAGCAGTCCATATTTCTTCGTCCGTATGTACCTGATCTGGGTCTATATTATACCTCAGTGTTCCTCTGAGCAAGAAAGGATCTTGTGGAATTACCGAAATATTCGATCTGAGAAAATCTAACGATAGTGTTTTAATATCAACGCCATCTATTGTAATTCGTCCTTTAATCTCGTATAAACGAAAGAGTGCTGATATAATTGACGATTTACCAGCTCCTGTGCGGCCCACAATTCCTAGTTTTTCGTTAGGTTTAATGTGAAAATTTAAATTCTTTAATACGTATGACTTAGAATTATCCACACTCAAGTACACATTTTCGTATTTAATTTCACCCAGTGTTGGCCAATTATCGATTTCTAATCCTGATTTAGACTCTTTCTGTATCGTTGTGTATTCCATTGCACGTTCTGCTGAAGTCATTTGTGTTTCTAAATCGACCCATTTGTACACTCCATAAAAAAATACAGAATATATTGTAAACGCCTGTGAAATTGCTAATCCGACGTCTCCGGGTAAGACATCTACAACTTTTGTTTGAGATTACTGTTATATACGCAAAAGGAAAATACCTTTTTCGAGAATTACAAATTGTAGAATAACCACAACGATAAAGATGGATGCAAGAGTATCTACCACGAACACAAACGCTTTCAAACAAGCAGCATGTGAATAGGAGGCTGAATTATACAGGTTATGATGTGTCTCAAATTCCTCCTTGACAATTCCTTGGCAACTGAAAGCTTTAATAGTTGGCAGCCCCTCTAAGGTGGCACTGAGATATCCAATTACAGGACTTTTGGCTAAAAGTTCAAGTAAAATTTTAATTTTGTAAAATACTGTCAGTTTACTTGAGGCATCTAATCTTTTTAGCGGTGCTCCTGTTTTAATATAAATGTATCTTAAAAATATGAGGCTTCCAAAAAGCAGAGCGATAGGTAAAAGTAATCTTACGTTGGTAAAGGCAATAAGTACAATATTTCCAAGAATTTCTAAGATGATCTGAAAAAGTTTTAGCTCGATAAAAGCAGCAAAAACTGTACCCACCTCTATATTACCACTATCAAATGGTGTAAAGGAAAAGGGATACTTTCATCAACGCTGTCAAGATCTTTTGAAAATCTGTTCACAATATTTCCTAAAAAAGTTGAGTCGAAAAAATTGATAGATGTATTAATAACACAATTCAGCATCTTTTTATGTAAAGTTATTGACACTTTTCTTGAAAATAAAAACAATGCGCATCCTCTTATCAGTGTAGCGACTGATATTCCAACGACCACGATAGTGTAGGTACGCAAAAGTTGATTGCGATCCTCTATGAGGACTGAGTACGTTGTATTACCAACCGTGAGATTATTTCGTGAAATTTTGTCCTCAAAGTTTACCCTAAAATAAAAAAAACTGTTCAGAGACCTTCCTAGACCTTCAACTTACCAGTTGCTTAATAGCTTGTCTTTGTAGCTTACTAGCAATTGCGCTAGAATGAAGATAAAAAATATAATTGAAAAAGTAAGACATCCTCCGCCCATGCCCACATATTTCATATAAGTTTTCAGAGGAACCGAGCCTGATACTTTTAATTCTCTATACACTTTATTTGTTTTTGTTGTTTCGATTAATTTGCTTCTCTCACAATCCACAGAATTGAGTTTTGGTGCAGATTTTGTTAAGGCTTTCTGCATATTTGGAACGATCGTCTGATCGTCATTTTGTACATTGTTTGACAAATCATGTTTCCATAATGTTACATTACCATTACGTAAGTTTACAATATTAGTGGCATAGTGACTTAAATCCGAATAATGGCTCACCAGAAATACTAATTTGTCACGCAAAAGTTTTAAAATACAATTTTTAAAGATATGGTCAGCGACTAAAGGATCTAGACTCGACAGACAGTCGTCTATTAAGTAAATATCGCTGTTTTGATATATAGCCCTTGCTAGATTAATCCTGCTTCGTTGACCTTTGCTCAAATTAACTCCACCATCGACTACAATAGTAGAATCACCATTTTCTAGTAAATCTAAATCATAGTGTAAATCGCAAACTCGTAACACTTCTTGATAGTGTTCATGATTATAGTTGTTTCCAAAAAGTATGTTTTGTTTAATGGTGGCAGGAAATAACCAAGGTTCTTGTGATGCATAAGATAACTTGCCCTCAGCAAGTAAGTTTCCTTCAGATACTTCAAATTCTCTCAAAATTGTCAAAAGAAAGACACTTTTACCACTGCCGGCAGGTCCACTTATTAGAATTAATCCCGAATAGACATGTAAGGTGACATTTGCGAAAACCGTCTTATTGTCGATTGTGACCTTCACGTTTGAAAATTCTACTTTTGGTTTATTTGTTTTGAATTCACGATATTCGAGTTGGTTATACATTTCTAATGTATGAGCTAAAGTTTGCATTCTTTTAATGGCAGTAAATACTTGGGGCAAACTAAATGTCGCGTATGGAAATGCAACTTGTATGGTAGCAGAGAGAGCTTGAAAAGTGCCACTAATGTAATACATAATTTCCGCCGTTAGAACTTGACCCGTCCAAATGTTGGTCATTACAACAAGATAAAATGTTACGTTGTTAACTATGATTCCTGTTAATATAGACAGAAACAGTAAAGCAAAAATTTTAAACAGAATGTTCATTTCTCTCCTAAAAATGTGGTGCTTAATTTGTGATCCTTGGAGAAAACACCCTTACTTTCTTGCCCAAGATATTTTGCTTTCCAAGTAATTTTCCCAAACGTACATTTTTATGCTTCTGATGTTAGAACAAGCTTCTCTAAATTCAGTAAGTCTTGTGTCGGTTTTCTTAGATGTTTGTTTTTTGAGTGAAGCTATCCATATTCCCGCAAAAACTGTAAGCAAGGACAAATTAATTTAATGGTTGATGAGCTAAAAGAAGCAATATATGTTCAAAAAGTTTGACGACCAAGGAACAAAATAACAACGAACCAATGAAATGAGTTACATATCTGGTGTTCCAGTATCTAATTAGGAGTTAGGTTTTTAATCTCTAATTTGCAGAGGCGGCTGGTGCCGGGAAGCACAAGGGCACATGCCCCCCAAAAATTACAACGTCTACAAACACACTGGACATAGCAAAATAGTAGTTTTCAATATTGAAAAAATTATCCGAAAAGTTGTGTCATAAAAGACTGAACTGACCTAAAATTAGAGTAGTAGCTCAGTCACGGTGCACATCGCTCTCGATTTTAACAAGTTTATTATTATTATTATTATTATTACATTACTGAATCATGCCGCCGAAGAAAAATAGTAAAGAAAGTGGTGACGACATTAATTTTAATGTAAACGATATAACAAAAATAATTTCGGACACAGTAAAGGCTGAAAGCAACATTTTATTGAAGAAAATCACCGAATTAGAAGACCGACTAAGTGATATGAGTGTTACAAATCAACAACTACTATTATTACTGCAAACGAGACACTGTAAGTGCGAAATATCATGCGAGAAGAGTGGTCCAAATAAAGAAATAGAAGACTACATGAGCGACCTGGAGACATCAGATGACACGATTATTTCGACTCCAATAGATAAACAAGCAGAAAAACCTCAAAAAACCTCCACAAACAATGAGCAAAAGAAGAACTTTATCAAGTCGACAAAACCGATAAACACTAGAAAGGATGCAAAGAAAACTGCAAATATACGAGGGACGCTCGAAAATTCCACAAATTTTAAGGCAACCTCTCGGAAACTTTGGCTACATGTGGGACGCTGCGATAAAGATACTACAGTTAATCAGATCAAAAAGCATGTGAACGAGATCTGGAAGGAACACCGGTTCGAAGTGGAAAAACTATCATCGAAGGGATCCAATGCTTCCTTTAGGGTGAGCGTTGATTATCATACAGACCTAATACAAACATTGTACGACCCAAATTGCTGGCCCAATGGTATTGTGGTTAAACAATTTAAATTTTTTCGAACAGCGCAAAAAGCAACAGGAGTCTTTAGCAAATAAAAACTATGATCTTCTCTTATTAAACTGTCAAGCCATCACAGAAAATAAATGTGACATATTATATACGGATATTCTCCAAGAATATGGTAAGATAAAATTTTTGTGTCTTACTGAAACCTGGTGCACTGTTACCAACGTAGAAGCAGTACATATCCAGGGGTATAAACTGGCAGCATCATTCTCCAGGAAAAATTGCAAGGGTGGTGGTGTTGGTATTTGGTGTGCTACTGACTTGTCGGTTAATGCGCTAAATTTATCAGAGCATTGCGTGGAAAAACATTTTGAAATTTGTGGAATATCTTGGTCCTTTGAAGAGAAAAAAATATTCTTATTTACATGTTACAGGTCTCCTGACAGCGATGTTCAAATTTTTTACAATAATATTGGTATTATCTTAGATTTATACTTTAAAAGAAATAATTATTTTATACTTTGCGGTGACTTTAATATTGATCCAAAACGAGATAAAAAACAATTTGAGTATTTAAATCAAATTTTTGCGTCATTTGGTCTTACAAATAAAGTTAATCGTCCCACTAGAGGTATTAATACACTCGATCATCTTTTCACCAATCTTAGTAACTCTGATTTTTGCTGTATTCAGGACACTGTTTTGTCAGACCATAGGATTGCTTACTTTCAAACTGATTTGTTAAAATTACAAAGTGATATAAGTTCTTATAAATTCACTCGCATATATGACGATTTGAAAATTCAAAATTTCTTAAGTGATCTTTATTATGAAAACTGGACACCTTTGTACACATATAAGGACAGTACCGAAGCTTTTAATTACTTCCATAAAATTTGTATAAACTATTTCGAACAACATTTTCCTTTTAAAAAAATTAATGCTCGGGAAGGAAAATCCTGGTTAAATGACGAGGTCAAATTGTCCAGTACAAAACTAAGAGATTTATTTATGCTACAAAAATCTTTTAGTGAACTAGAACCGATCTATAAATTGGCTAAAGAGGAACATTGTGCTTTGATCAATCAAACAAAAAGAAAATTTTATCAAAATAAACTTGATAAATCGGATAACATATCAAAGACTGCTTGGGGCATCTTTAATGCGGTAGCCAACCAGCAAAAACAGCCACATAGTACCATTAAGTTAAACTTGGATAACCAAGTAATACAAAACGCCCACAATATTGCAGATGCATTTAACTCCTTTTTTGTCAATGCACCGAGAAACATAGTGAATCAGATAAAGAGTTCGGATCCTTCGAATACTCTAAGTTTCAGAGACTGCAAAAATTTATTTTTGACACCGTTCACCGTCAGCGAATTGTCAAATCTGCTCTTGGCTAGGCTTCATGCAAAAGGCTCTGGCGGTTTTGACGATGTGCCTGCATTTTTATTAAAAAAAACCGTCCCCATATTAAGTTCGCAGTTTACGTACCTGGTCAACTTGTCATTTGAAACTGGCTGTTTTCCCGAAAAAATAAAACTTAATAGAGTCATACCACTTCATAAAAAAGATCATTCTTCAGACATGAATAATTACAGACCGATACCACTAACATCCAGCTTTTCAAAAATATACGAATATTGTTTCCTATCGCGATTGCAAACACACCTTGAACGTAACAATATTTTAACAAAAAATCAGTTCGGTTTCAGGCCTAATACATCGACATTTCACGCCCTAAATCATTTTTATGACCACATTTTATCCTGCTTAGAGAAAAAGGAGTACCCAATTGGAATATTCTGTGATTTAACTAAGGCTTTTGATACTATCTGTCATAAACGTCTTTTAAATAAACTGGAAAATTACGGCATTCGCGGCGTTCCATTAGAATGGATACAATCGTATCTACTAAAACGAACACAGTATGTAGCGTACAAATATTTTGACATAAATACTAATTCAACAAAAAATGCATTTTCAAATATTATGGAAGTAAGTCTTGGAGTTCCTCAAGGGTCCATATTAGGGCCAACATTATTTATATGCTATATCAATGATTTAAACCACAATCTTGAAAGTAGTGTGAATACTATACTTTATGCTGATGATGCCACAATAATCATTTCTGACAGATTCTCTCGCGAACTGCAACTTAAATGTGACAATACCACTAAAAATATGTCCAACTATTTTAACTCCAATAGCCTGTATTTAAATGAAACAAAAACCAAATATCTCAGATTCCATCAACATAATGTAAAAGCTGACATAAATGACGTAAGAATAATGCTTAATAATACGATTTTAGATAAAACAAATACTGTAAAATTCTTAGGACTAACTTTAGATGATAAACTGAATTGGACATTACATTGCAATCGACTTATCGGTCAGCTTTCAAAAGTATGCTGTTTGATTAGAAATGTCGTTAGGTGTTTGTTGGATTTGAACCACTTGTTAATGATTTACTATGGACAAGTAGAGTCCCGTTTAAGATATGGCATCTGTTTTTGGGGTATGTCTCCATCTGCACAAGATGTCTTTGTTATACAAAAAAGAATTGTGCGTACAATTTTAAATGTTTCTCAAAGGCACTCATGCCGCGAACTTTTCAAAAAATATAATTTAATGACTGTACCGTCCTTGTATGTTTTTGAATGTTGTATGTACGTATATAAAAATAAAAAAAAAATTGTTAAAAATAGTGAAGTCCACGACAAAAACACCAGACAAAAGAACTTATTCCACGTTCCTACAAAAAAATTGAACGTTACAAAAAATTCACTTTGTTCTTTAGGACTTGACTTGTATAATAACCTACCCAACGAAATAAAAAATCTTTTATTTATTGACGCCTTTAGGCACAGATTAAGAGACTATCTTGTTACTAGATGTTTATACTGTGTAAAAGAGTTTGTGTAGCAAATGTCTATATATATTTATCTAATTGTCTTTCATGTTCTGACGATTTTCCACACTGTATGTAGTCTATGGAAATAAAGTATTATTATTATTATATTATTAATTATCAAAACTATTTTTTTTATCTCGCTCCACTTGATTAAAATGTATCAAAACTTACATCCACTTACATCTAATGATATTATTGTGTCTTGGATATACTGATAAAAAACGGAGACCGAATCATGGCTCATTTAGACGTTTTGTTTACACCGTTGCCATAGAAACCTTGCGTCCAGGTGCGATATTTGAATGCAATTGGGTTCAGTTCTGATAGTGCCTAGGAGCAGTAACTCAACTGGGGTTTTAATTTTCATTCCGCGCGGGTGAAATTGTTTGATTTTAAATAAAAATAATTAATTCGGTTGAATATTTAATAAAAAATCGTCATCTGTGTCACGACGGTAAAATTTTAGTGAAAAAATTAGGCAGAGCCACCCCCAATTTATCAATAAAATAAAGTGTTCATGGCAAAACGTGAGACTTTCATGGATGGTAATGGTATAGACGTAACACGTATGATAAATATTCATGGATAATCTTTTCGGTAATATGTACAAACATTTGGAGATAAGTACATACCGCCTATATTAATAATATTCGAGCAAAGGTCGACAACAATCCCCATATTATACTCCGATTGATAATGTGCATAAAATTTTGTGGGGTGTTTGAACTTGCTTTACGTGGACATGACGAAAGTAGAGAATCAAAAAATCCAGGTATATTTCGAGGCCTGATGGATTTTGCGGCGCGAAATCACATTTGAATAATTTGAATTTGAAAAAAAATCGTTGAACATAGCCAACCATGTGCACGCTAGCGCTATTGGGGTAGTGGGTAGTTTTGCTTAGAATTTTAGTTAGAGGGTTGTTAGAAGAGAGCGACTTGGTAGGGGATTCACTGTGTGTTGAGTGGTGTGAGTGAAAACCACTTGGTTAGGTTAGTTGGCTTGGTAGTTAATAAATGGGAGGAAGCCTTTGTT